TAAACCATCTCTCTCCAACCTCTTTTAAAATCTTAAAATTTAACGATGATGAACTAACTTTCCTTTCAAATAAAATCATGTCTCCCCCACTACGTTCGGTTTCATTTTAAAAAAAATTGAGATCAATACGAATCAGTTTGGGGTGTTTCAGCTTCGTCATCAGAGCAACTACAATTAATTCCAATTGTTCGGATTCTGTGGTAATGTTTCGTTACAGGTGCTCGTCCTTATCCCACCATGAGCTTCAAGACAATGATAAGCAAGCTGCAGGAAGGATACCGCATGCCAAGACCAGAACATTGCCAAGATGAACTGTAAGACACATAAAATCACTTTTTTGGGGGGGACATTATATAGATCACTAATGCAATTGAGAGTTAAGATGGTCATGATGAATTTTGATAAAAACAAACTCTTTGATCACAAGAGTTTAAACGAAGCTCAATCGGTAAAGCGCCGCTTCGGTATTCCGGAGCTCGCAGGCTAACAAAAACCCACTGGTGTCCACTTCTTTGTTCAACTTTGTTCAAGTTTGAACAAAATAACTGGGCAGCAATATAAGCGAATCATGTCTTAAAATGCAAAGGCTATTCTTACTTTTGTAAAATGGGATTTAATAATAATAATAATAATAAACTAAAATTGATATTGCGCGGTCTACATACAAATGATCCCACGCGCATTACATAAAATACCACTGTAATTACATTAAAAAAAGAAAGAAATAAAATCAGTCACAACTTATGTTAAACCAAAAGGGGAAAAAAAGAAAATGTAAGGTCTAGTACAAACTGAAACAAGGTGCTACATTTTGGACTTTACATCTAAAGATCCATTGGTTTACTGTTCAGACTAAAACAATTTATAGAAATCAACTTTCGAAAATGAGTACAATACGATATGTACTTTAAAGTGTTTACACATTCAAACATTCGACAGAGGTATAGGGCGTTCATGAATACAACAATGTCTTTTTTGATAACCGGTACCGATGTAATTCACTTGAGTAAAAGGTTACATGTCTAACTTTATTGTTTCCATTAACACAGGTATCAAATGATGCTGGCTTGTTGGGAGGAGGAGCCCACAGCACGACCGTCTTTCACTGAGACTGGTCAGAAACTTGAGAAATTGCTGGAGGGAGCGCATGTAAGTAAATAAATATGTATTCACCTCATGAAGGGCCATTACAAGTACCAAGAAGGGAAAATGTTCTTTCCCTCGATCAAGGCCCCTGTCCCCTTGTGCCTTCCCTTAGATTTTAGATAGAACATGTGTGAAATGTTGACGAAACCCAATCAGTGTTCCTAGTGCCCCCTACATATTGGACAAACTACGACACTGGTTCCCAGTCTACTAAGCCATTTAAAACATTTGGGTTGGTGCAAGGCAGGGTGCCAGGTCAGCAGTATCTCAATGTGTTATTGCACCATGCAGTGCACATTTAGTTTCATGTGCCATTGTGTGGCCATTTTCTCAAAGAAAAGTCTCGAACGATTCAGGTGAAGTCCCTTTTTTTACAAGCAAATATCCAATGAAAAATCACGCACTAAGCCAAAGTTATGTTACAGAAAACAAATATCGGATGCCACTCTGTTGTTTAGTAATCTCCCACGGTTACCAATAGCATTACTTGTAATATACTGATATTCTGATAAATATATTGAAATTTCACAAACCGTATTGCAACAGTTTTTCCTATTCAATGGTAACTAATCAAATACAGTTCTTGTTCCCGCCCGACCCAGCACCTCCTTCAAAAGTAGGATACGACTATATAAATTTCGGTGAAAATTATTACGTTACGTTGCTCTTTCTTGTTGCTCTTTCTTGCCAGGATTACATAACTCTGTCAGACTACCAAGAATTTGACTACGAGGTGACGATTCCTGATTCTCCCGATGAGAAGGTTTAAAACATTGAAGATCATACTTCACAGGGAAAACAACGGTTAGAACTAGAACAGTATTATCAAACTTGTTTTACATAATACTGCTCATGCTTGAAGCTATAATCCCAACGGCAGTTTTACATGTAAAAATGTATGCCACTTATGGCCTGACTGAATCATGGCTCGTTAGATATATTGCAGTGTATTACTAGGCGTCTGATTGTGTATACTATGTCACCATTGTTAGTCTTTGATGTTGTTTTTATTATCCTGTGAGGGCGCACTATTATGAAACAGGAAAACCTGGAAGAAAAATAATGCCGTTTCGATGCACAACTGATAGCTTTTTGAAATGAAAACTAGTACCATCATACCATTGTAGGTATAGAAGAGCCTATTAATAACTTTAAGTATCCTATACTGAGAACAGGTCATTAAACTATTATTTAACAACGATAATTGTCACCGAAGTTTGTAATAGTTGCTTGTAATATGGCCGCTATGGGTAATGCATTTATCCATTAATGTACAGAAAGGGAAATCGTTTAAAAACAATGCTTGCTCATCCGATTCATATGTCGTCGTAGCAACTTAGGCAGTCCATTGCTGTTCCTAAGGAAGAATGCCCACTCGGTTGACGCCTACTGGAGCCGGAAACCACGTAAAACGTGCCGGAGTTTTCGCCGTTATTAGGCCTGGTGGGAGGAAGTGGCGTAGTAAGTCTTTTTTTCTGAAAGGGGGGGGGGGAGGAGGGAGGGGGAGGAGGGCGCGGGGGGGGGGGGGGGGAGGAGAGAGCGGGGGGGGGGGGGGGCACCAGTATGAGGGGCACCAAAGCGGACCCAACAACATTTCCCCTAAATGTCCAGACCACCGCTCGCCGCAAGTGCTGCAAATTTGAAAAGCGCGGGGGGGGGGGGGCTGGACCTGATTTGGTGCTAGGGGGCGCTCTATTTGCGTATCAATGTACACATGCATTCACATTTCATAGTCGTAGGGCCATAAGTCATGCATAAAAACATGCATATTTGCTGTTTTGTCAAAAAAATACCTTTTAGTGTTTTTAATGTAAATCGTACTCAATAAGGATGTAAATATATTTGGTATTAAGGAGGCAATAGACGTTTGAATTTTACTTAAAGATTTGCCGTGTTTTATAGCTAGTTATCAACTCATTTAAGCATTCAATCATTAATATACATGTATTTATCATTTAGCAGTGATGATTGCAGTGATTTATTACTCGTTTTTATTAACATTTTTCTATTTGCAAACAGTGTTATTGGACGACCCATTCACGTTCTTCAGTGACAGAATAAACAACGTGAAACCAATGTCCCTGTCTTCTACGTTCTGTTTGACTCTCCGTCACCAGAAACATGTAATAATAATAATTCTCATCATGCATTGTTGGTCCATGCATAACCTGATATGATTAATAACTTAACAGTCTGCTCAGTTTACATAACATGGATCAATTGTGATCACTTGCTGATTAGAGATGTAAGCTATGTTTCTTATAAGCATTTATTAGATCTAATTTTTCGGATAATTGAAGGGGGTCTGGATTTGCCTATTCCGAATTGGGAATTTAAAATGTATATTTTGAGCGCAAGTCCCCCACCCCCCAGTTCTCAACCAACCCTCCCATTGTGACCGTTGAGGGGGTACTTGTGCACGGAGCCCATACCTTTCCTCCAGTTAATGTCTTTGAATTCAGACTCAATCTTTCAGAATGTGTCCTCGTAGCCGTGAGGTCACCTCAATGTCTACAGTTCTTTGGCCGGAGGAAGCCGCATTGGCGTTTTGTTGAAGTTACGTTGAAATGCCGAAACCTGTCGAACAACAAAATATTGTTATATCGATAATAGTGAGTAATCTCTTGCACTAATTGTCTCTGTTGATCTATACGCATGCATGCATACAATTATGCACTAAAGGTGAATTAAAGAATTGGTGATCTTTGTTCATACATTGCGGACGCAACAAGGTTAATAAGGTCAATAAATACCTGCCTTAAACCGGTTGGAAACCTTTCAAATTTACCATTGTATATATGATTAAAATAAAGCAGTTTATAGTGATTAAAATAAAAAGAGAGTAAAATAGAAAGATCCAGTGTTTTGCGAGCTTGAATGAGGAAGGTTGGCATGATATCCGGGGTCGTCGTACGTTGTTTTGTTTAGATCCCAGACATATTTATTTAAACCCAATGGTTCCTGGGTCCGGAGCGTTGAGTGGTAACCCGTCGTAAACGATGAAAACCGGTGTGTAAATGAATAGATGTTTTCATCGGATGACATAATGGGCGTATTCTTAACCCCATCCTCTGGAATGATGAACCCGAGAACAGGGTTCCGAATGACGAGAAGCAACAAGGTAACGGTATTCGCGAGCAAGAGTTTCACTCCCAACTTAGTGGGGAGTATAGATGAATAACGTCAAGAAACAAGATGGCAGTATTGGGCCCCTGACGCAACTTGCGTTGATTTATGTGCATACATTTGGAATCACTCGTTTAAAAAAGGAGCAGTATATAATATTGAATGAAAAAAAAAGTATTAATCATACAGTGCGATTGTCTTTGCCAATTTGTTATAGTGTCCTGGGATCTATTATTTTCCTATTATCTTTGGTTTCCCCTCTTTTCAATCAGCGGTAGCCATCTTTTATTTTCGCACATAGCCGCGCTCCACATGCAATTGGGCGTTCCCATTTGTAGGAATGTCTCTACTCTTGACCTTTTACTTGCAAACATAGGATCGAGTTAATAAGTTATTTACTTTTTATTGATGAATAGGTCACACAACTAATTCTGATAAAATATAGGCCTTCTCATAATATCGTAATTGCTCTATCTGTTAAAAAACTGAAGTACTTTAAAGGGCATTTCTAAACCGGGAAGTTGAAGCTCATAATGGTGATGTTTACTTTGTGTCTCTCTACTGAATTGTAATTGGTGAATTCAAGGTTTTGGTGTGGGAAACATACAGTAATGCAATAAAGGTGAACACCAGGCCGCAACTTGAATTCCACAAACCATATCTACATAGGCCCTGGTAATCTGTGTTCTGTATCGGCCTCCCTCACACTTTCAACATAACATTTCAAAATGGCAACTTTCCGGATGTCCTGCGTCTCCATTCAACGCTTTATCGTCGCACTGCTGTTTGCATTTCAAGGTAAGACGTTTGGAATGATGATTTAAATAAGAGCAGTTGAGATATTCAGGCTCCCATTATCTTGTTGATGTCATTTAATGATTATATTAGGTGCAGTGGATTCATCCACGTTCCCCTTATGTTTAAGATGCCATTTGATGTAATATTTTAGTAATATAATGAGCAAGAACTTTGGAAGACCTTTTTAGGCTGATTTAAACAGAAGCAATTGAGATATCGAGGTTCCTCTCTTTTTTTCTGCAACGCATTTTTTTAGTATGCCCCATCATTCTATAACATGACATAATAATACAATAATGAAATGCCGAAACAACCATGTGTTTGCCAACAAATATAAATCTAATGTAAATAAATGTGTGTATTACAACTTCACTTTGATATTATTTTCAAAAGGGTAAATGTACAATTGGTCTTTTGATATGAAAAGATGAGGCAGCTCATATTTCTTTCAATGGATAATACTGACAATGAAACCTCACTTGTTTAATTCATTAACAGTCAATATCTTAAGATTTACATCCTATGAATGGCATAATTAGCGCAATATTCTAATTTAACCTCTCTGGGCTCTAGGACTGTAAAACATGCTGATAGTTGTTTGTAAGGACGTTTGTGGTCATCCATGAGCAAAGCTTGTAGACCAACTAGTAGTTTCAGGATGGTAAACTAAATGCGGATTAAACTCAGTCGAATCTGGTTTATTTACTCGCCGATATCTAGATATTAATGTTTAAATCTGTGATGTTGGTTTTTTTTTTACGTTTAATCAAACGCTGAACGCGTAAAAGGCTGTCGCTCATAGCTGGGAAGTTATAACACTGCACGTGGAACTCAGATAGCACTCAGTAACTGGTTTTAAACACTATAGAGTGGGAAATGCGGCATTCTACGAAAGAACCTAAACGGTACCTAACATAATTAGAACAGAAGGTGACTATGGTATCACTTGTTTGGATTAAAAATAACGTTTTTACGATGTCTGTATTTTGAATGTGCTGGTCAAAAAAAACGTTAGAACATTTCTGGTCAGAAAAATATGTGCAAGTTAGTTTGCCTTTACATTTACTATATTTCTTATTAGACAGCGAAACCAAGACAAAAAGAAATTAAAAGACAGCAACAGAAAAGGAACCAAACTGCTCCCGAAATATTGCCCACAAGAGACACAAATATTTACATTTACATACAGAATGTACAATTACACTTGCACCAGAGGAATAAAATAATGATAGAAAAACAATATACATGTATTCTTGCGTTTTGCACCGTTAAAGGTGCGGAAGTAAAGTCATGTCGCAATTTTAGTTTCAAAAGCCACTCTAAACCAGGACATTCAAGATAAGTGTGCAGATGTGTGTTTGTTTTGTTTGTTTGGTTGGTTTTTGTTATTTGTGTGTGGGCGTTTTTGTTTTACTTCGCTCGTTGTTGCTCGACATAAAGCTGCAACAGCACTCACAATAATATAACAAATATCCTGGCTTCTAAGATAGAACGCAATGGTAAACCCTAAAAACAACATGCCTGCGTACAGCGTATTGTGTAGGCTGTAAACTTATGGTAAGTTAAGAAAAACATGTGAACAAATCAGATTGCTCACACTGTGAAAACTCTTTCAACCCATTTTTTATGATTCCCTTTAGTGTTTCTCTTCATTTTGCCACAGGTAAACCTAACCCCAAAATGCCTCTAAACCTGTTTTCAAGAGAGGGGGAAACACTGTGTGGACGTGGGCAAGTCCACACAACGTCGCTGCTACCTGGTTTATGGGGACCCCTTTTGTTCGGGAGTCCACACAGTGAATGTTATTCACTGAACAAACACAGTATCCAAGAAAAGTTACAAAGCATATCCTACTTATGGATTAACTACAAAGTCCACATTAGACCAAAGCTTTGGGCAGACTTTTATCGGTATAGAAAAGGGAAAGGTCAGGAGACACCAAAAGCTCCACCTCATGAACATCAAAAGCTCTACCTCGTAAACATGAAGTGCGACAATTCAAGTGCCAGCTGACGACCCTCAAGAATGCACATTGGATGAACCAACGACTCCAACACAGCAGACCAATACGCGTAATAGAATTGGCATTCCAGGGCCACATTTAACAAAACCCCACTGCCCCACTTTTCCCGAAGTGACATAATCGCGACCTCATTCCAAGGTGGTTTGCACTGTGTTGGTGAAAACTGATCAAATGTAATCCGATGAAACGATCCGGCAATGTATGAGTGTGCACCATGTACACATTGCACAATAAATTCTTGATGCCAAAAAAATGTGAACAACTGAACAATTTTTGTAAACATCTTCTCACTTATGTTTTTGCATTCCCATTTATGCAGTTCCACCAATTATGTCAGTTGCATCATGGGTTAATGTTGGCACGACTACAAGCATGCAGTGCGCATCGACCTCACCCAATAGTCTCAGGTTGCTACAGTGGAGAAACAGCAGCTTTGATGTGACTGACTTTAGGATGTCGGATATCCTCATAGACTTTACTCCCACACCTACCCATAATGTGTTAAACAGAGATCCTGCTCATTACACCTTTGATAAAGATGATACTACATATCCACTAACAATCAATACAGTCACATTTGATGATGATGAGGCACGATACTGGTGTGTTGTCAACTCAGCGATAGATGGTGAAAGACATGTCTACTTCGACGTAATCGTCGTAGGTATGTACACTAAAAGTTTGCTAATTTTACGACATGGGTGACAAAATTGTCTAACAATATTTTTTTTTTCGGGGGAGGGTTTTCATACATACTCTTTTAAACTTCCAGATGTGATAGAGCGCCTCTGAAACGGAAGCACTATTTTGCCCACAACGGTGTGAAACACGCCATGGGCTTGAGCTGCTTATGTTGGTTTGTGGGTGGGTGGGTGGGTGGGTGGGTGGGTGGGTGGGTGGGTGGGATGGTGGGTTGGCGGGTTCGTTGGTTGGTAGGTAAGTTGCTGGACACTTTACTCGGCCATCTAGTGTATGCATACAACTCGAGTACTACAGTTTTGCATTCGAAGACCGGTTTTGCAAACACTGTTGTGCATGCGTCCAATTTACATATTTTTGTGCATAATATCACGCATCATTCCTTTCCGTTTTTTGGTGCTCTACGAGGTACTGGTGTAGCGTGAATATCTGACTCCATGAAATATGGACTCATTGGTAGTATTGCGCATGCATAAGTACGATAATGTGCTATTTTTAGGACCATACATGGGAGAGTGACCTGTCATGTACGAGGGATAAACCAATAAGGAAAAATGAGTCCGATTTTCAAAGGAGTCGGATTTTTATATGACACCGGTACGGCCGCAAATTTTCTTTTTTCAAACTACATCCATATACGTGGGTTTTGAACGCCCTATATGATACTTGAATGATACAAACGCAGTATTATTACCATGAATTTCCAGGATTTGTCGATCAGTGCGATAGCTCAGTCGGTAGGGTCGTGATTTGGGACGGCCAGGGATCCTCGCGGTGTTATGTTGTGGGTTCGAGTCATCTCTGATAATGCCTCCAATGACCCTATCTCTATTGATCCTGTCTACGAAACAAACCCTAACCTCCGAACTGGCAAGTTCTCCCAAGCCGATGTCAACATAGCCATTAAACAAATGAAGCTTGGCAAGGCTCCTGGTTTGGACAATATACTAATTGAAGTATGGAGGCTTCCTAAACTAAAGAAACATCTCACAAAGGATCTGTAATGCAACCCTTGAAGGTGTAGGGAAATTAATAATAAAATCCTCTGATAAACAGAAAAACTATTAAGTGCATAACGCTGCAATTTAATTCACATATCATAACAACACGTACATTTTTATTCTGCATCTGCATTATGTTGTCCGTCTTCCGCCATGACATTCAGTGTCGCGTATCGCGCGTGCAGCTGCATCGTATACATTAGGTTATGTTTGTGTAAACATAATTCGCAAAATTACGTAATTCGCAAAATTATTCATCTAGGGACCAGTTTTGTTCATGACCTTGGACAATAATGCCAGCATGTTAGCGGCCAGTCCTTTGTGGTCAAAAGGTTATCCATACTCTACATACATACAAAGCAGTTTTTACACATAATCGGAATGATATTCCACATATGATTTCACTTACCCAAGTAAACACTTTTTCCCTGTTCACACAAGAAAAAATGAGATTTCCCAATTTATCCATTTTGTAGAATTTGACGCATGCATACACGCTGCACAATACATTTTATGTTTCTGAAAAAAATATGAACGTCCATTAAACGGTTTTTGTACATGTTCTCATCTATATGCTTTCTTCTTTTCTTGTTTCCATCCCCAATCATGCAGTTCCAGCAGATGTACGAGATAGATTATATGTTGTTCAGTCTGGCTCGAATATAACCCTGCAGTGCGCACCAACCTCTCCCAACAGTCTCAGGTTGCTACAGTGGAGAAAAAGCGGCTTTGATGTTACTGACTATAGGATGTCTGATATCCTCATAGACTTTACTCCCACACCTACCCATAATGTGTTAAACAGGGATCCTGCTCATTACACCTTTAGTAAAGATGATCCTTCATATCCACTAACAATCAATACAGTCACACTGGATGATGAGGCACGATACTGGTGTGTTGTCAACTCAGTGACAGATGGTGAAAGAGAAGGCTCATTCGACGTCCGAGTCAGAGGTATGTACACTGAAAGTGTTTTTGTTTTGCCCCGACGAAATACCTCTGCGACATAGGCTGCTGTCTGACAAATCTTGGCTGTTTCTCTTTCTCTGTTTTTTTTTCTATGGGAGAGGGGTTTACAAACTTTACAAACATATGGAAGGACTGTTTTATTTTTTTCAATCAATAAATCACCAATAAAATCTGTAAGTAAAAAAAATTGTGTCCAAATTGTTGCTAAATATTTCTGAGCTACAGAGACGAAAGAAATGTTTTCGTTAAAATGACCGAAATTGCAATATTTTGTTTTATCAGAATGTGTGGAGTTTTCTGTAAAATAACTTATGGGATGACTACGATAATTAATGAAGACTGTGTGCAGGGATTTGATACAGGACATATTTCTATTTATGAATAATAACCTTAACCTCCGGCAAAACTCAAGAAAAGGGGACACAAACACACAGGATTTCCAACTCCAGACGAAACTTAACTTTTTTGATAGACTTGATGACAAGTCGTTAGATAATTGTATTTTGTCCCTGAACTTCAGTCGAACTCCACCGGCCCGGTTGGTATGAGACTAGTACGTATTTGGCCGGGTTGCAACAAATCTAACGACTTGAGGATTATGTGTTCGCACCGATATTCATATATGCAAGCAGCGCAATACGTATGTAGTGCATTTTTTGCGGTGATACCCAATCGTGGACTACGTAATTGTGGACTCATTCATTCCGTTACATGGGTAGTTCTTCTCAATATGTCGGGGACATGTTTGCAGATCTGGCCACGTTTTAACGACCAATACACTCAGCTTGGTCAATTGTGTTTAAAAATAAAATGTATCAATGTGATATACTTGATTTATTTGAGTCGTGTATGCCCTATAATGAATTTTGTACACACGTCACAAAGTACAAACCCTCGAAGTAATTAGAATGATCTTCCGTGGCGGCCTAGAATACACTCTGGAATCTGAACCAATCACAGTGCTCGCCTAGAGTTTGTTAGCGATTCAAAATACTCCATATGTCTTGTAAAAAATTGAAAACGTTTTTCTCTAAGTCGATAATTGATCAGAAATAGTCAGCATCGTTTGGTCCGGGAACCAGACTACTAACATTGCAAGGATATTTAGCGTGCGTGGAGCCAGTAACCGTACGTGAAACAATTACCGACTTGGCACCAAGTTTACTTTGATAATAAAAATATTAATAATGCCAAGCATTTGTATGGCACTCTACAACGATCACAGCGCCTCACAACAAACAGCTTAAACAGTTACAGAAAATTACAAAGAAATCATATACAAAAAACAACAACAAATATTATGTATTGGGAATTAAGTGTGTTTTGAGTAGGCGCTTGAAGATCGCAGTAGACGCCACTTCCCTGATATCAACCGGCAGTTGATTCAACAATTTTGGGGCAACAACAAAGAATGAGTTGACCCCTAGATTCTTTACAGTGGTGGATGGATTAATGCAGATGTCTCCAAGTTTTACCTGAAGCTGTGGTAATGTGTTGACGACCTTCGGGAAGCAAACACGAAGAATTCGGTTTTGTCTTGATTAAGTTGCAACCTGTTATTAACCATCCAATTATTGATCCGTGAAATACAAGTGGAAAGCATGGTTAATGCACGATCAAAATCACCGGCAACCTTTGGATCAAATTCTGTATAGAGCTGGGTTTCGTCTGCATAAACGTGAAAATTTATTGCATTTGTTGGCAGCAAAATACTCTGTAGTCATCCTGCCACATCGCCATCTGTACCACAACTGCTGATTCCCAGCTTAGAAAAGCACAGCTTAACAAAATGTATTACAATGTAACAACTTGGAGTAGCCAAACTTTTTAGTGATCTATTTATAGAAAGTAATATCCGAAGCGCACGCTTAGCTAGACTAGGTCAGTGCACTCAGGCACAAAATTAATATAGGAAGCTTATTATGACATTGCCACAATATTCGTTCAACTCCATAACAGGTACATTTTGCCTTTTTAAAGGACTATTTTAAACAGAGTACGTACAAAGCTAGCTAGGTCTTATGTTTGTGTGTCCTTTGCACCATAGTCACACCGTTACCACCGGAAAATGTGTCCGTTGTTCAGGGTTCAGTCACAGCGACATCTGTCACAATAACTTGGCGTCCTGGCATCGACGTCGGCGAACATAAGTGGTTTTATTTCAACATCCGGGAAGTTGACACAACGACAGGGTTTGATCCCAACACTCGGGTGAGAATCTCCGATGGCGTCGTGATGCACGTGATTGATGGTTTGAGTCCGTACACCAAGTATGAGATCGAGGTTTATGCTGAGAATGCTTACGACGTAAGCCAAAACGTCAGAAGGACTGTGACAACTCTACGTAAGTTCAGCATTTTGTTTCTCTCACACCACAGTATTCATTGTTGATTCAACAAAATAAATTAGAGCTATTACCAATTCACAGTGTAGTTCATGATAAGTCGCTTGTTGTGGATCAATGGATTTTGTTGTGCTATGTAAATCCGGTATTGAACACAGTTTTTTTTCTTTTTCTTTTAAATGGCACACGCAGCTGATACGCCAGAAACGTTAGGTGAGTGATTTAAATACTTGTTTCCTGTTTGAAAAGTTTGGGGTTTTTTTAACGAGAATTGTTGCCGACATTTCAACCAATCTGTTCAGACAATTTTAATTATTTCTGTTTAAATCAGATTTGCATAATACGATCACAAAATCTTTGTAGAAATAGGGAAATAGGATAAAGTATATCCCTGTCAGCAAACACTAATAATACTTCAATTTTGTTTAATTTCTTATTTTGTGTCTTTTATAGATTTGTTCCGTATATATATATATTTCCAGGGTTTGCCTTTGTATTTGTTTTTAGATATATCTGTGACCACAAATCAAGAGAATGGAATCATCTCAGTTGATGGCATTCCTCAAGATGGCGACACCTCGTCGTGTTTGCGGCTTGAAACACGTCTAACCAATCAAGATGATTGGTTTTACTACGGCGAGTGTCTTGAGACAAACACAGACTTGGCTCTACGCGAGGCTCGATCTAGATACTGCTATGGAGACTTGTGTAGTCAAGCGACTACCGCAAAAACAGGTCAGTCAAACCGGTTTGAGATCGGACAAACCGGTCTTGATACTGCTATGGAGACTTGTGTAGTCAGGCGACTACCGCAAAAACAGGTCAGTCAAACAGGTTTGAGATCAGTCAAACCGGTCTAGATACTGCTATGGAGACTTGTGCAGTCAGGCGACTACCGCAATAACAGGTCAGTCAAACCGGTTTGAGATCGGACAAACCGGTCTAGTTATGTGAATCTATTGAAAATAATTTTGGCCGATGACTTTACTAGACATGAACGGCAAAACTGCACAATGCGCAAAGCGCACATTTACGGTCAAAAATCGATTGTAAGTCACGTGATTGTATATATCCCATATAACGCACTTAATGTCCCTATGAAGGTTATCATAAACAAGAACAATTTCAAGTAACTGGCATTTTTGCAGATGATAAGTTGGGATAAAAGGTCAATTACCAGTCAAACAAAAATAAATACCACAAGGACATATAACAATCGGTTTCACTATTTTTTGCCTGTTTTTGTTTCCACTTTTTTGTGCTCCCATAGTTGTGGGACAGTCGAGTAATGCAGGATTGATCGCTGGCATTGTGATTCTGGCCATCGTTTCAATAATCAGCATTACACTGAATGCTGCGATAATTATGTATACCAAAAGAAGAGGACTAAAACGAGGTAATTGTAATTGAGTTTTCCCATCCTAGATGTCGCCACCAGGCTTTGATTTAAAACATTTCAAACCATTCGGGGACCCCGATTCAAATCAGTTGTGGTTCTGTCACAAAAATGTCATATACCAAAGTTTATAGTGTCATCATAGTTCAGAGTATCCTTATTCTGTTAAGCTGTTTCGTTTAGTCATGATTATAACACTCACTTAGCAAAGTGATTTCGATGCGGTTCTACAAAAACAGGTATGATTAACATTCCTTAATATGGACCATAAATTCGTGTTCATATTTTCAAAGTCCAATTAAACTTTTATGATTTTTTTTATTGCAGAAACAAAGAATCGTATTTCAATACCGTAAGTAATAAAATCACATTTTTACACAATGTGTAAGCAACAATAGGTAACAATATATCGAAATATTTGTAAATTGGCTTTACAAAAATAAGGAATCATTATCAACGTATTTCCCCAGGAAATTCAAACCAGAAGACAAACGAGGGGTGATCAACGAAGCAGTGGAATACCAAGACTTGGGTAAGATGCTGAATAGATCATGTTTGAACTTGTGTTTTTTTCCACAGTTTATGAATGGAAAAAATAAGGGAAACATTTTTTTTTCTTCAAATTTTCGCTATATTGCTTAACACTATGAAGGTGTGAACGACAACACATAGCTGTAATGTTTCACATTACCCTCAATGGAAACACCACACTAAGGAGCTGAATTTTGATCCCCAATTCAACATTACTGGTAATTGGTCTCTCCTGGTCCTATTCCTGGTACTGTCTTTCTTCATTGCAACCTTTCTGCAGACGTGCCCCTACAAATCATGGCCGTAGGCGGGAGCTCCAACCCAGCTGCATCGACTTACGCCAGTATTTCTGAAACTCTCGCGGAGTTCTCGCGAGAAAAGCTGACGATCGTTCGTGAACTTGGACAAGGCGCCTTCGGGAGGGTTTTACTTGGGAAAGCCAACGGTATCGTCCAGCAGGGAACTGTAACGCAAGTGGCTGTCAAAACTGTAAGAGGTAATATACTATATCGAGTAAAAAATACAAATGAAAACATTAACAAGAACAGTTCGTCAATTACTTTTGAATAAACAGCATCGCTTAATTGCTAAGTACTTTGTTTTGATATTATTTTTCATCATTGTTATTCCAAGTATTTGAAATTTCTAATTGAGGGGTTAACACCAAGTAACCAGCCTACATGAGCGTAAAATATAATTTCCAACATACTGTTCTTTAAGATGCATTATTCAAAATTATTTCTGACGGCTATTTCATGTGCAGACGACGCGGATGTCACGCAGCGACGCGATCTTCTCAGGGAATTGGACTTCATGAAAAAGCTTCTGAGTCACTCTAATGTCGTCAAACTCTTCGGATTTTGCATTGACAGAGGTAGATCATTAACACTTGTATTAAATTTGAAGACTCTTTTTTGCGTCATCTCATTACATATCAAATTATTTAGTGCTTTCTTGACACCTGTTTTGGGGAAATCACATTGTTTTCGTTAACACATACTAACAGAAAAAATAAGAGTCTACGAGTAGCCTATGCTATTCAGTGATGCACCAAGACGTCCACTTAAAAAACCCAGTGATTATTGTCCATGGTTGTTAACATAATAAATATTCCCAATATTCTGTCAGAGATTTTTAGTTCTCAAATGACTCAAAAAACAATTCTGCTTTTATCAGATCCAATTTATATCATCATGGAGTACATGTCCAAAGGTCAACTCAAGGAACTCTTGACGAGTAGTCGAGGCAAAGGCAAGTTGCAGGTGTATAGCAACCTGCACGGTAGAAGCAAATCTCTGACATCTAGGGACCTCATCAAGTTCGCTGCAGACGTTGCTGATGGAATGGCATTCCTGGCTTCACAGCAGGTTAGTGTTAATATTTCTGTAATAGATATACATCAGTTTGCGACTGCTGCTGGATTTACGTAGCCTTCAAGGCTGATCAATATGCAATGAATTCGAAATCAGAACTAACTCACGAGTAAAGTCACAAGTGACAGCGGATGGCCACTGACAAGTAACATCTTCGTCAAATCTCACTTGAGTAACTTGTGATTTGACACGGGATTGAACAACTTGCGGTGCCCGTTGCAATGTACATGTGATGACTTGTGACTTATTTGCCTCTCTATCAAATGCGATTAGTGAGAAAACAAAATCCAAATAGGTGATGATGGTCAACACTTATCCGTGCCAATTAGGCCACCGTTGTATGTAGGTTATTTTTAAAATGTATTTCGTTATATCTATAATGTCCAGTAAAGAAACCAAAAAATCGTCAAAGTGCCAAAAAAGTGACAGTACAATAAAGAACTGTTCTTTGCAGAAGTGAAAGGATAATTTAAGGGAAAGCCACAGAATCAGAGACTGAAAAGCCAATCCATAAGTGGGCATGGGCGGGATTCGAACCCGGGTAACATAGGGGAAGTAGAGGAAAGCACCACACCAACTTAACTCCCCAACGAACTGATGATATCCTGTCTTTTGATACACAGTGCATTCACAGAGATCTGGCTGCTCGTAATGTCCTTGTGGGTGAGAACATGATCTGTAAGGTGTCTGATTTCGGACTCGCCCGTGACGTCAAGAATATGAGAGTGTACCAACGGAAGTCTGAGGTATTGAACTTTGACAAGTTCATGCCAGACACTTTCCTTTGTTTTCTGTTTCATTTTTTTCTACTCATAAACTCTGTGTATTCCCACTTGTAACTGTATGTCAAGTAGAAATATTTTCAAGGTTCAAAGTACCAAACCCCTTTTTTCTTAAGTCTTTTTCGAATCAGTAAAAGAAAATGTTTCAAAGGGTTCTGATTTCCAACTGTGCAGGTGTTCAACAAAATGTTACGGTTTTGAGCCTGCAATTTAATGTATCAATAAAACATGACTTTGGATTAAATTTCCCAAAATATTGTTTGAAGCACTGTACATTCAAATCTGAAATCACCAAATCTTGAAATGCGCACGCGCAGATTAAACATAATCGAGTTACTGAACAGTGATTTCGGATCCAACATGATCTGATGTCGTAAGTGTGACAAAAAAGCTTAAAACTAAAAACATGTTGTCTTCTTTTCAAGGCTCGGTTACCTATTCGTTGGATGGCCCTGGAATCGGTTGTTGATGACGTGTACACAGCAGAGAGTGACGTATGGTCCTATGGCATACTTCTATGGGAGATTGTTACTCTTGGTGAGTTTTAAAATGTATAAGTATTCATGGCATCCTATTAGCATTATTACCACAGAGATTTTCCTTTATTATGGATTAGCAGCGCAATAACACACTCTCCTACCTTCATTTGATTATCATGCCTTTAGATTGTTAGTCATGATTGAAACGACAATGAACACATTTGCAAGTAATATAAACAAAAATGGAAACAAAGTTCCCAAATGTCACATGAAGTTCCCTAAATATTGACAATCTTGACTTGTTTGCTTCAGGCCTCAAGCTCTTGTATTTTTTGACTGCAATGCCCCAAAGAACCCTCTCTCATATCTTGAAAAAAATGGGGAAACAAATTCAAAATTCGTCATATGTTATCTAAATATCGTCGTCACCCCTATTGCAAATGTTGATATGTTTGCTTTTGCCTTTAGTCTGTTTATCAGTGTTGACTGCAACGCCTCAACGAACCCTCTCCGCCACTTGAACTAAATTTCGAAATGTTAGCAATGAGCCACAGTTGCGAAGAACACGAAGTTGTTTAAAGTGTTTCAGCTGTACCATCGGAGCATATCAAACTGAATCAAATATCTCATATTATGTGATAATTTTTCGTTGCAGGTGCTCGTCCTTATCCCACCATGAGCTTCAAGACAATGATAAGCAAGCTGCAGGAAGGATACCGCATGCCAAGACCAGAACATTGTCAAGACGAATTGTAAGAGACAAACAATCACTTCATTAATTACGCATTATAAATTATTTACTGAAAACAGTTGGAACTTTAGATGGTCCTAAATGCATTAATGCAAACAAACTCCTTGATGACAGAGATTGACAAATTGAGGACCGGGGACCATAGCATTTAGTCGCTCAATCGGTAAAATAACCACCAATGTCAATGTACTTTTTTTGTTTCACGTCCGACCAAACAACTGGACAGTGATATTATTTTTTATATGGATTTCCAAAGCAATTATGGAAGATAAACGCAAACGTAAACAACATATTATATTTGGACTTCACACCTTAACATCCATACGTATATTTTTCAGCCCTTCAAAGGAAAAATGTTCAGAAATCACTTTGGAGTGTTTACACGTTCAAACATTCAACAGAGGCTAAAGCATTCATAACTGTAACAATGTGTGTGTGTTGTTTATAATAGGTACCGATATAATTAACGGCAAAAATAGTACACGTCTGATTATATTCACACAGGTACCAAATGATGCTGGCTTGTTGGGAGGAGGAGCCCACAGCACGACCGTCGTTCACTGAGATCGGTAGGAAACTTGAGAAATTGCTGGAGGGAGCGCATGTAAGTAAATCTGTATTCATCTCATCACATGTTGGACAAGTTACGACACTGGTTCCCAGTCTACTAAGCCATCTGAAGCGTTCAAGTTGTGCAAGGCAGGGTGCCAGTTCGGCAGTATCTCGAGCTGTTATTGTACCATGCAGTGCACATATAGCTTCATATGCCATTGTGTGCCCATTTACTCATAGGAAAGTCTCGAACGATTCGAGTGAAGTTCCTGTGTTCCGAATATCCGAATGAAAGATTCACGCACTGAGCCTCAGTACCTTTACTGTAAACGACTATTGGATGCTACTCTGTTGTTTGGTAATCTACCACGGGTTTCAATAGCAATACATATATTTACTGATATTCCCGATAAATACATTGAAATTCCACAAACTGTATTTAAACATTTTTGCTTATTCCAGGGTAACTAATCAAATACAGTTATCTGTTCCCATCCGACCCAGCACCTCCATCAAAACTATACAGGATCTCTTTAATACTATGACAACCAGATACATTTCAGTGCAAATTATTACGTTAAATTATATATTTTTTTCTCTTTCTTGCTAGGATTACATAGCTCTGTCAGACTACCAAGAATTTGACTACGAAGTGACGATTCCCGATTCACCTGATGAGAAGATCTGAAACATTGAAGATCATACTTTACAGGGGAAAACAGCGATAACAACTAGAATAGTATTATCAAACTTGCTACTATTACATAATAACGCAGAAACTATAATCCCAACGGCAGTTTTACTTGTACAAATGTATGCCATTAATGGCCCAACACAATCAAAATGCTCAATCATGGCGCGTTATTTTGCAGTGTATCACGAGGTGTCCGATTTTTCATACTATCGCACCATTGTTAGTCTATGATGTTGGTTTTTTAATCTTGTGAGGGCGCACTTTTATGAAACAGGATGAAAGAATAATACCGTTTTGATTAACAACCGATAGGTTTTTTTTGATGAAGACTAGTACCATCGTACCATTGTAGGTATAGAAGAGCCTATTACTTAGTTACTTTAATTATCCTATATTGAGAACAATTCCTTAAACTATTCTTTAATAACGATGATTGTTCCCGAAGTGTTTAAGAGTTGCTTGTATTACGGCCGCTATGGGTAATGTATTTATCCTTTTATGTACAGAAGGGGAAACCATATGTAACAACAATGCTTGCTCATCCAACGAATGTCGTAATAGCAACTGAGGCAGTCCATTTCTGTTACCAAGGAAGAATGCCCAACCGGATGACGCCTACTGGCACCGGGAGCCACGTTAAACGTGCCGGGGTTTACGCCGTTGTTGGGCCTGGTGGGAGGAAGTGGCGTAGCCAGGCTTTTTTTCGGGGAGGGGAGGGAGAGGGGGAGCGGGGAGGCCCTGGGGGAGCAGGCGGGGGAACCAGAGCAGACCCAACAACATTTTCCCGATATGTCCAGGCCACCGGTCACCACGAGTGCTGCAAATTAGAAAAGCGAGGGGGGGGGGGGGGGGTGGGGGGGGGCTGAACCTATTTTGGCGTTAGAGGGGGCTCTATTTGCGTGTCAATGTACACATGTATTCACATTTCACAAAGTCGTATGGCCTTAAAGGAAAACAACATAATCATCTTAAACAAATACTTCAAGAAGACACTTCCATGAAAAGCGGCAAATTCCTGATTTTTGGTATGGGACACCAACGGGGAATTTGAGAACGTGCCCCACCCTGACTACGCCACTAGTGGGAGGACGTGATCCAAAATAGCTGGGTCTTTCTCTCATCCGTGAGGCATTTCATTGGCCTTTCATGTCAAAAACCAAATGAAAAGACTTTTATGTTTTAAGAACATACAAGTCATGCATAAAAACATGCATATTTGCTGTTTTGTCAAAAAACACCTTTCAGTGTTTTCAATGTAAATCGTAGCAATTAATAAGGATGTAAATATATGTTTTTTTTATTAAGGAGGCAATAGATGTTTGATTTTTATCTAAAGATGTGCCGTGTTTTATAGCTGGTTATCAACTCATTTAAGCATTCAATCATTAATATACATGTATTTCTCATTTAGCAGTGACGATTGCAGTGATTTATTACTCGTTTTTATTATTTTTTTTTCTATTTGCAAACTGTGTTCTTGGATGACCCATTCACGTTCTTCAGTGACAAAATAAACAACGTGAAACCAATATCCCTGTCTTTTACGTTCTGTTTGACCCTCCACCACCAGAAACATGCATAATAATTATTCTCATCATTATTGGTCCATGCATAACTGCATGGTAAGCATTTATTAGATCTAATTTTCGGATATTTCAAGGGGGTCTGGATTTGCCTTATTCTGAATTGGGAATTGAAAATGTTGTATATTTTGAGCGCAAGTCCCCCCCCCCCCGATGGTCTCAACCAACTCTCCCATTGTAACCGTTGAGGGGGTATAGTCTTGTGCACGGAGCCCATTAGGCCCATACCCTCCTCCCAGCTGTTGAATTCAGAATCCAAGTTTCAGGATTTGTCCTCGTAGCCGTGAGGTCACCTCAAGGTCTACAGTTCATTGGTTGGAGAAAGCCGCACAGGCGTTTAGTTGAAGTTACGTTTAACGGCCGAAACCTGTCACAGGCCACACAGCTAGACTAGTAGGCCTATTTCTTACACATCAGGAAGAACAACAAATATTGAATGACGCATGGGCGTCGCGAGGGGGGGGGGGGGCAAGGGGGGGCACTTACCCCTGCACAATTCCTGGATCCGCCCCATGTTGATGTGGTGCTGTTTGGAAACCTGGAAGCCTTAATTTTCTCATAATGTCAGCTGCACACAAAGATAGCATTACTTTGAAAGATTGAAGGGTTTTTTTGTGTGTATTTTGATTTACACGGCAACTAATTACAAACAGACTGTATCCGTGCAAGAAAATTGTAGTTTATCTTTCTTTTTTTAGTTCTATTCTGACAATATTCTGAGCCGTTTTGAATATGTAATCCGGTCAACTCTACAACATTATTTACTGCTTCATAAGCATTGAAATAAAAGTGGTTTTGTTCCCCCAGTTGTCACGAGCTGGGGGGGGGGGGTGCCAGGGCGGATCCAGGATTTTTTGCAGGGGGGGGGGGGGGGGTTCATCAGCAAATCAATGCTGAAATGTAGACATTTTTTTTCTCCAGACAATCGGCGTCCATACAATCAATAGTGGTGGGGTGGGGGGGGGGGGGGTTTGAACCATACTTTCAATGGGGGCGCTGTTCAAATCCGACCATCATTAAAACTATATTACAGAATAGAAATACCCCCGTAACCCAGCTTGCTCTGTCCGAACTTTGTGCACAGGCTGACATTCTTACCAGTATCTTTTTTTTGTCAGAGTAGGGGTAGGGGGAGGGTTCACATTATTTTTTTATATGGAAAAAAGTTAAGTCAGAGCTGGGGAAGGGGGGTGTTTGCCCCCCTCCCCCTCTGGATCCGCGCCTGGCTGCTCAATATTAGGATTTTCCCGCCCCCCCCCCCCCTCCTTGCCAACACCGATTTATGCCACTGATGTTCATTCCATTTCACTCATTTCATTTCTGCATTACACCAACTGCCGAGTCACTCTTGTACAGATCTTCCCAACACTGGAATAATTTTTACCCGAATTATTCCAACAATAAGGTAATTTAATGTAAATGTTGGAAAAATAACATTGCCCATCAGTGCTGTGTCCAACTTTTTATTATTGCCTTTGACTTCGTAGAATAATTGTTTCAGATAATGAGACGTCTAACTTCGCCAGATTGTTAAAACAGTTAGGAAGTATGGATGTCCATGAAAGACCTGCTCGATATTCACCATCTGTCAAACGTATCTAACACTCATTCAGCCCCGACAAAAGCAGACTTCCGGGATCACATAGCATTGCCTTCCTACTATGTGTACATGTATGTACTTTCAACAAGCTTGAACAGTGGGTTCATCAAATACACGATATTGAGCATCCGGATCCAGATCAAGAGACATTCCGACGTTTCGGTCAACAGCCAAGGCTAGGAGCGGGAAATGGCGTCAGTAGAAAGTGTGTACCTTGTTGCATTTGTGTTGACCTGCTTTATACCTGGTAGGAATTTACTTTAATTGACTGATACACAAGGAAACCAAAAATCGCAGCTGCTCACAATATTTGTATTTCAAGGACTTCGATGTATTGGACTGGAATGGATGTTTCTTGAGAAAAGGTTCTTGACTTTCTAAGGAAGAATAGAAGACCATGACTTACCTGGAGATATTCAAACAACATATTACAGCAAATTGAATTATACACACTGCTTTGATAATTGGTTTATTTGAAAAATGAACTGTTTTTTATCCGTACGAGGAATATCTTTCCTTCCCCTGTCTTTGCAATTGTTTCTTTCGCAGTCGGCAGTTATAAAACAAGATTTTGGAAAAAGAGTGACAAGTAGCAGCAGCGTGTTAACCATCTCTTCACTGGAGTTTACAGTTGATAGTGGGAAGTACTGGTGCTCTGTTATGTATCAGAAATCTGGATTTTATGAAAATTTATGATGGGTCAACCTCGCTAGAATTGTTGTCGGTAAGTATGCTTTGATTATTTTCCAGTTTGACTGTTGTCTTCAATTTCATAATTGTTTCAGTTGATCATAACAACCGCGCGTGATTCGCTGATGTTTTGACTTGTTACCTTTTGGCCTTGCGAACAAGTGTATGCACCTGCAACATACAGACCGGACGAACAACCAATGTCAGGTTACCAACGAAACAGAAAAACAAATAATCAATCGTCTCCTGTTAAACTAATTTCCCGTTGCGTCATTTCACTGCCGTGACATCGACAAGGTCCCTCGATTGCGGAGGCTAGTTGCCAGTCTTAGCACGAGCTATGCATTAACTATTGAACTCAAACACACTAGAACCAGTCCATGGTATATTAATGGAGTTGAGACCACAGTGGCTGGTGTTGATTACCAATTCCCGGGCACACCATTTTGACACACATTGTAGACAAATTGAGCGAGGAGCGAGGAACCAGGAACGCGAACAGTGGCACAGCAAGATTTACCAAAGGAGTTGTTTAGGTTTTAAAGTCAATTTATTTATTGATTTTTGAGTGGGGGAATGAGGCTTGCAGTCAAGGTATTAGGGGACCTGTAGCAATGAATCAGGATTTGCAATACTGAGTAATGACGTTATTCCTGGAACTTAAAGGAAAATGTGCATTTGTTAGTGTGCATAATCAACATAGGTCAATGGTCAGTCGGAAGGAGGAGGTGGGAGTGACCCTTTCCAATACCCCCCCCCGGCCCCAATGGATCTGCCAGTGGAGAAGTATCGTTTCCAAGTTCCAGCATTCTTCGACCAGAGACGATCGCACTTTGTAATCAGCGCGCTGGCGCAGCACAGCCTGGAATCAACCGCTAGTCAACCACAAATCCCCAATCGAACTTGCCTGTTGATTAATTTCTTTGCGCCCTTGCTGCCCATTAACATGTTTACAGTATCCCTCACAAGATCACCGGATGCAGGTCATACGCATGCCGCCCTCCATAGCTTCCTGTAACACACGTTTGTCACGTGCGGTAACATAACACATACATTTATAACCCTGAGCCTAAACATTCTTTCTTCAAAACAGTTCAACACTGAAAGCGACATATTTCCGGGATGAAAACGAAGTAGTCCCTTCTTTTGACAGTTTTCATTTGACAGGACGAATTAATAGAATAACGCGAAGACAGATAAAACTATTGTTGTAAAGGACTAAAGGTTCAGTTTTGTTGAACAGCCACAACACATTGTAGGAAATGAAGCCAGTAGCCAACATTTGCCTCCTAGCGGTAGGACTGTCCTGTTTTCTTACAGGTGAGAACATTTTTTTTTTAAATACATCTACACGTATAATTGTTGAACTCATCTAAGT